GTGTGTGTGTGTGTGTGTGTGTGTGTGTGTGTGTGTGTGTGTGTGTGTTATCTGGCTGGTGCATGTGTGCAAGCATATGCTTTTGTGCTCATGATCCTCTTACTCTAGCTTCAGTGGGATGGGCTTACAGGTATACACTGCTGGGCCTCACTGAGTATCTGTGTGCTTGGATAGACTTGCACCACTGTGCCTAGAAAATAAGTAGAGATTTTATGTTCCTTACCCGTCACATGAGGTTATTGGAGACACTGTGATGTAGACTTTCTTTCTTATGCTTATGCTTACCGATGGTACTGTTTCAGCGCTGGAGGTCTACGTAGCTCAGTGCATGTATATAAGCATGTATGTAAGCATTTGTAAAGCCCTGCGTTCTCCTGTCAAATGGTACTTTATGATCTTACAGCAAAAGAGTAGTGATAAAGTGAAGGCTTTAATAAATATTCTATGTGAAAAATAACATACTGGACAGCAGTTGGGCAGTAAAGAGGGGTTAATAATTAAACAAAGGACTTTTATTTTCCATCTAGAGCCTTCTTGTAGCAGCAGCATCTGCCCACGGTGGGAGCCCTGTGAGACTAGTAGTTGACTGTGTCTCTAGAATTTGTTTTATGTATCCATTTCCATGTGCGTATTACATTAGTTAAGTAGTCAAACACAAATGCTATTTTTATTCCTTCCTGAAAAACATGTTTCAATCCTGGCCAGTGACTTTTTGGGGAGACTTTTGAAAGGATGTGAGTTTTCACTATTTTGAACAAGATGTTTCTATTACAGCAAGCTCTGTTTTCCCTACTGTATTATTACAAATTCTTTTCTACAGTTATTAATTTTAGGGTTAAAATAAAGTTCAGTCCTTTCCCTCACTGTTACCATCTTGACCTTTGTTCTACCTCACAGTAGGGACACATCTGTACATAATTGAAATACATACATGGAGGTGAGCAGAGCCCACCCTTCTCCCTTCATTAGAGCCAGTACGACAGTGAGGGTTGGCAGTGGGATGAGAGCACCCACTCATTTTGCCCCTAGCATTTCCACTAATTGCTTCATTCCCTCCCCCTGCACAGAAACCCTGAAATCATGGCTCCAATTATTTCTGCTCAGAGGTGAGACATAGAAATCTTTCTGGCCACCTTAACTATACAGTGACCGCTGTGGGACAGGGAGGAAGTGAATTGGCCTTTCTAGTGTGGCGTTTCTCTCCAAAAGTGTATGAGACAGAAAAGAGACTGTGACACAGCGCTCTCTGGGCAGCATCGGTTACGTTCTTCCTGTTACTGTGGTGCTTAAAACACACAGTCGTGCACCAGCACACATGCGTGACTACCCGCTGCCCATGAGCAACCAAGTACAGAACTCACACATTCGGCTTTCAAAGGAAAAAACTATAAAACTTTCTGTCTCTCTTACCTAAGTGTCTCCTTGCATCTCTTTTATTGTTAATTTGTGAAGTGTTGAGTTTCAGATGTTATTGTATAACATGTACATGCCCCTGTGCACAAATAAACACACACACACACACACACACACACATGTTCATAGCTGTGTGTATGCACACTCTATACCTTTACAGATTGCTTCTTAAGGGTGATTGAATTAAAGACATTAGCTGCCTTGGAGAGATTTGTTTGTTGTTTTTTAATATTTGAAGAGAGATGAATCCATCCTCTTACAAAGCCTGGGTGTTGAAATAACTTGGGGGGCAGCATTACTGTTTAAGAATTGCTTCCTTGAAATCTTAGCACTAATGAGTTTGGGTGGGGACACTCAGAACAGTTATTGGATAGCAGTAAGATTTCCTACTGAGTAGAAGTTAATAAGTGGCTTCCTACTTTCCCCATTTAATGAAGGTTAGCTCTTGCTAATCAGAAGCAAGGTCTGCTGAATTTAACTTTATGAAAAACAAGCTTGGTGTTTTGGAATAGGATAGCTACTTGATGTAAGTAATGACTTAGTAGCTGGGCTCAGGGCTTCTAGTTCTGTCATGATTCTCTTCAGAGTCCTGCTGCCTCCCAAGTTCACTTTACTCCCATTTTCCTACCTAGTGTGCCGCCTCCATTTACCTTTCCTCCATTTGCCCAAAGTATCTGAGCGAGGTTTGGAAGTTGGGTTTTCCTAAAGGGTCACCCCTCCAGGTGCAAGAGTGCAAATACAATACAACAGACATAAGCATTAGCTGGGTCCTTTTCTTGTGATACGTTTTTGTCGGTAGGAATTCAGTTCATGTTTTGACTATTTGTATTTCCAACACCAGACTTTTTAGTTCAACCACTTGCAGGCTTGAGTCTTCAGTCAAAGATTTGGCATAATCTTAAAAATCAGCGAGGATTACCAGTCTAGCCAGTGCTTTGAAAGGTGGAAAGGAGCTAGAAAGGGACCTGGAGTACATCCCTACCCATTCCCTCTCTGAAAGCTGTCAAGATACCCATCGCCAGCAGGAGGTGGTGTCCTTGTAAAAGGGGCAGAGCATTTATTCGTTATTTGTAAATTATTTTTAGTGTCTATATTTCAGATGAAGACTTTATTTCTAAACCTTTTAAATCAGAGGGTAAAAATAAAGTTGCACAAGTAAAACTAAGGTAAATTCTAAATGGTTTTTAGAAAGTATTTCATTAGTAAGCCAAGACTATTGAGAAATTATTTTTTATGCAATGGTATATAAGTCAGTTTCGTAGCTGATTTTTAAAAAAGTAGGCCAATATTAGAAAAGTAATTTATTTTTTCCCTTTATAAAATTAGAAGTAATTTGCACTTCTAATGAAGCTTATTTGTTAGAACTGTCTCCATTTTAACTTTCCCCCAAGCTATATCAGTTCTGTTGTTTCTGAGTTTGACACGTGTTATAGGGACATTTGGACAGGAAAGAAGAATTGACCAGTAAGAAAAAAAAAAAAAAATATATATATATATATATGTGTGTGTGTGTGTGTGTGTGTGTGTATGTGTGTGTGTGTGATATTTAGCTTAGTACATTTCAAAGCAGCATACGGGCTAAAAAGTCTTTTCTTTATAGACTGCTTTAGTATTAAGAAAAGGAAATACCCTTCCACCAAGCTGAGTAACACCTAAAAGTCTTCATTTGCTTCTGGGTCATCTGATTAAGATGAGTGTTATTTCTCTTGACTGTAAGAATGCTGTTGCAATGGAATTTCTTGGGAACCACTTCTTTATTATGTTCTTTTTTAAATTAATATTATTA